TTTTTCTTTCTTTACCTTTTGCTGTGTAATTTTTATCAAATTTTAGATGCTGTTGTTGCTGCTGCTGCACATTGTGCAACATTTGTGGTTTTTTCAGGAATGGAGATGGGGACAATGGGGAAGATGACGTTGATGAGCTTTTTATGGCCAGGCCATTAGGGGGCGTGGTCAAAAGGGGCTGGAGGAGGGGTTAGGGGGGCCTTCGCATTGTTTTGTGAGGCATTCGTTGTCGCTGTTGCAAGTTGCAGCATTAGCTTCTCCTCGGCTTGGTTGTCATCTTGATGTATCTGCCTCTTTGCAACCGGTTTGGGCGTGCCAGTTTGCGTGTGCCAGCAATTTGCCCCGAACGTTTAACGATCTGTTTATGGGGCCACTCGTAGGGTTCCTATACTCCTATAGCGTACCTCTTTAAGAAACCCTTTATTTCCATTCCACCCTTTGCTGGCAATCAGCTACTGGAAATCTTATATTTTGAGTTCTGTTTTCCTTGGTTCTCGGGTTTTTTATTTGATTTTCAAGTGGCCAGCTTTGAATAACTCAAGCCGCATAAATTCAAATGAAGCACTCCAGCTGGAGGCAAAGCATATGTCGAAAGATTTCCAAGAGATTTCTAACAATAGTTGGCCCCGTACAATAGTACAAAGTTTTTTCTTTTGCAGCCTACCTACTATTGCCTTTGTCATTCGAACATTCTCAGTTTATCCGGTGATCTTTCTATCTCAGGTCTGACAGGCATGAATTTCATTCTAAGCCGCTGCAGGAGTTTTTAAATTTTTTCTATTTTTTCTTTTTTTTCCAATTGATGCTGGTTGATTTTTACAACACTCTGGATGGCTAGTGTTGACCGAGAGTCAATAATTCTTCAAAAGAAATCGTAGCTTCCTTTGGGCACCCACATCTACCAGCACGCTCGATTAAAGCTGAAAATATCCCCCCTTTCTATTCATCTTTCATTTTCATTTTCATGCACTTGGCATTTCTTTTTTCAACTTCATCGCCCTGCTTTGTTTGCTTCCCGTTCCCGAACCCAGGCCCTATTTTTTGTCGACCGCATTCAAATGCTCTTTCAATGCCAAAGCTGCCTCCTTTGCATTCCGGCAACTTTCGAATGCCTGCAGTCAGACTTGTCGGCTTAGGCCGCACTCTTTTAGCCAGCCCCCCCTATTTGCACACCCATGGAACAACCATGGAACAACCATGGCCCCCTGATTCAGTTCAGCCCTTCTTGATTCGGTTCTGGCCCACTCCAATTCATTCCATTCCACTCCGCACAATGGCCACATACATGCTCTTCATTTCAAATGCTTTTCCTGCCTTCTTATGTGCGCGCCCTCACTTCTTACACTGGAAGAAAAATGCGATAAACATAATAAAATTTAAAAAATGTATATATAATTAATAAGACTGTTCTTAAGTAAGTCTTTCTTATTTTTATTTTAATGAAAAATATTAGACCTACTCAAAATATAATATATAAAAAAATATTCTCGTCTGTCCTTAAAATTTTTTTTCTTTTTAATATTTAAAAAAAAAATATTAGACCTAGCCAAAGTGTAATATATAAACAAGTATTTAAAGAATGGCATATAAAATAAAAAAGTTTCTCGTCCCTTTAAAAAAAACAATTTTTTTTATAAATATTTTCTAATACTTTAGATTTGATTATCCAACCTACAAGTTCAGTGCTTGCTCAACCCGTTTCGTGTCTTGCGAGCTATGGCAGTCATGTAGGCCTTGTAGGTTTTAACTCCTGCAGCTCGTAGTACTTCCTTCCTGGTTGATTCCGGGCCCCGAGTGAAAGGAATGGGAACCGATGTCAGAGTTTTCTGCAGTTTATTCGTCACTCAAGAACCAAGTTGGGCTGTTCTCGGAACCGTTTAACTCTGTTGATTGATTGCAGTCAGCAATTGTTTGTTCTTTATGCAACATTTATTTCCCGTTATGCGGTTAGTCACAGGTCTTAAACTAAATCCCAGTCCCCCATTTTACGAGCTTTTCTCTTTTCTCAACTTTGTTTGGTTATGCTAATGCATTTTTTGTTGGGCAAAGTTTTTGTTGCCTCTTGTTATCTTTAATTGGCTTTTGAGTCATTTTATTGTTGGTCGTAACCATTTTCTTCTGGATGTTGTTTTCACTGTGTGTTTAACATATGCCCATAGCTATAGATCAAGTTTCAGACACACAGGCACTACAGCCATGTGCACAATCAAATTGACAGGAAAATACGCCTACACAACCGCCCACAAAATTTATAATTGGTTGAGTGCTATCCCCCTCTTCTCTTTCAGTGTGTTCAATGATTCATGAGTACCGAAGATTTGAAATTTGTTTTCCAGGCTGGAAAACGTTTTGATTTTCTAATGCGTGAAAAGTTGAAAGGGGTAGGCTCAACTGGCAATTACTTTCTCTGGCTTACAAGAATGAAACATGTTGTGTACATTTTTAAGACAACTTACTGGGGAATGCTTTTAAAGTAAAAGTTGAGCAGGGATTGGGGTTAAATATTAATAAACTAAGAAGCACAATATATGTTTGACCTTACAGCTTAGGGAGTACAAAATAATATGTTTGTTACAAGATTTTTCTTCTTTTCCTGTTCATAAATCTTAAATGTACCTGTAAAATAATCCATATTGACCTTTTACCTTTTCTCGATTACATTTTCCGACTGCTCAAAAGCATTCCCAATAAAACGAATAATCAATGAAGTTAGAGCCAGACTAATAGAACTTCCTTTCACTGCTAAACATGATCCAATAAAGTTGCATCCATTAAATTCAATTTTTAATTAAATACCGCTTCAACAGCAGGATCCCATAATTAAAAGGTGACTAGTAAAAAACGGGGAAAAAGCAAGAGCGCACTGGAAAAAAAAATAATAAAGAAGTGGTGTAGTGCAAATTAAACACTAAACGTGGATGAACTCTGGCCAAGGGAATCGGTGGACCAGTCACTCGTTTATTGGTGACTTTTTAGTTACGGAAATTGATTGACATAATAAAATAATCCTTGAGAGTTAATTGAAATGGACGAGGCGGCAGAGTGATAAAGAGGGCCAAAGTGGGCGGTCCATTTGATGGACAGCTGGATCAGGTGAGACAGGTGCACAAAAAGGGCAGCACGAAGGCGAGAGGGTATAAAACTGGTGAAGGCGATGGAAAAAAATTGGAGCAAATAAATGAAATTAATGCGACTTTTATTGAAATGAAATTTGCCGTAAAAACGAAGCTAAAAAAGCGAAACAAAAGGAAAATCGTGAAAAAAAAGAGAATTGCTCAATGGGCTAATAAAAGTCCGAGAAGGGCGACTCGTAAATTCGATTAGCCGCCAGTTGGATTCGACTTAGCAACAATGTAATCTTTAAAGCTGCTGCCCTGAATTGAATTTCAAAATTATTTACCCAAAAAAAAGGATTGGAGGACTCCCCGACTTATTTACCATCAATCAGCGGGGCAAACAAAGCCAATAGCAAGTTCGGGCCCAGGAAAAACTTGGCTATAATCTGCCCGGGGGCTTACAGTACGAAAATTTTAATTATGCCCGGCTTAATGCTGGAAAAACTTTTGCCACGGTCAGTAACCCCCCAGCATCTCCCATGACAACACAACTCAAATAGCAAAACTTTCGCAACATTTTATTTATTTGCCAAATACCAAAAAACACAAAAAGAGGAAAAATAACTGAGGAGAAAAAAAACAGGGAGAGAAAGGGAAAAGTTTAATTTAGAGAACCCTTTTTCCACAAAGCTCTAGAGATTTACGCCGCCGGCAACTGGGGGAAACTGTCAACCAATTTTAATTGACTCGCAATCCCTAAAATACAAAACAACTGCTTAAAAGAGACAATATCAAATACGCATTACTTTCTGCACCCAATTTTAATTGGCCCTGGACCCACGACAATTCGAACTCCAAAGTTCGGGTAGGGAAATTTATTCCTGCCCACTCTGGCGTAAAATTAAGGCACAAGCTGTCTTGTGTTTTCCTTTTGTTACTCTTTATTTCCATCTCAATTGCTGCACTAAATACTTTGCACAAACATTTCACAAATGTGAAGCGAAGCGAATGTGGGAAACCAGTTTTTGCAGCTCTCCGGAATCGCGTGTCCCAGCTTAGACATATGTTAATTTCTGCCTGCACTCCGGACAGGATGATACTTTGTATCTCCCTTTTCGACTGGATATGGACATCTCTCATTGCCTGTTAAATCACCTATATATATATTTGTTCGCAGCATTATCTACGCTTGAGTGAGAAAACCGTGGCTAAATCAACATTTGATGGGCATTTGCAAGTTAACAAGTCCCGCCAGCTGCCTTGCGTTGAGGGTTGTATAGGGATGAAATTGAAGGATAATCTGTAAGGGTTGCATGCCAGTAAAGAGGGTTAGGATTAGGCTACAAGTTAATAAAATTATCAAAAGACAACCTTGTAATTTAGGTTTGTATTTTTGCTTGACTTGGTACAGTGGAAATAACAATAACATTTTTACTTCCGGTTAATGTACGCAGAGGAAATTCTGATGTACCCATCTGAGTTGAAAATGTTTTTAGAAATAGAAAGACATTATTGAGGTTGAAAATGATTTCAATATCAAAAAGTTGTTAAATATGCTTAAGTTTTACTTGTCACCATTTCGTTCTAATATTGAGCACATTGATACCAAGGTGTACTTACACGGTTTTTAAGAACGAATGTTCTCAATTCAAGAGCAATGTACTTGAACCTGTCTCTCTGTGTAAAACTAACAAAAATTATCTAAGGTATTTAATATTTGGCCCATAGTTGATCATCATATAAATATTACAATTAATTTTTTAATGTAACAATGATTTTCTTTTTATTTTGGAACTCATTTGACAAGGAGTTAAGCTCTTTTAGAGGGTAAAATTAATAGACAAATAGCTCCCATCAAAAGAGCTATATTTTTAAACGATTCACTTTTATTTACAGTGTCTGTTAAGATATACATTTTTATGAATTAAAAATAAATCGTGTGTTTTAATTGTTAATTAAGAAAAATCATATCCCAACATTTTTGTCCACTCCTGAGGAGAACTAAAGTGAATGTTACAGTTTTGTGGTCACTTTATAATAAATAGGTCAATACATCTTGGTCGGACGGAAGGTAGTCATGTTTGACCAATTGCGATTGGGACTGAGACGATAAGTGCGACTCTGAATTAGATGATGATGGGTGGGCCGATTTCTGTGACTGTGACTGCGATAGACTTGAATGTTCCAGTGAAGCAGAGTTTTGACCATGACTATGTACGAGATTCTGTGACTGCACCTGTTGAGATCCAACCTGTGAGGCCGCCTTCTGTAGATTATGTAGCACACTTTCTTTTAAACTGTCCTGTGAGCTTGAGGCAATTTTTTGTGATTGAACCTGCACCTGCTTGGCACCGTGAGATGCAGAAGATTGGCTATTTTGTTGTTCAACAAGGTTGCGGCTAAGGCTATCTGACTCATGCTGATGCAATTGCTTTTGCACCTGCACTTGTTGAAGATTAGATGTTTGAGATCCAGAACCTTGAACAATTTGCTGTGAATTAGTTTGTGTGCTTGAACCACCAAGGTGGGCAATTTTTTGTGACTGAAGTTGCTTCAATTGGGTTTGAGATTCAGAACCTTGAACAATTTGCTGTGCATTGGTTTGGATGATTTCTTGTTGCTTAGATCCTTGAAGACCAGAACTTTCAGATCCAGAACTTTCTAAAATTTTCTGCGATGCGGTCTCTGAGCCAACAAGCTGGGCAATTTTTTCTAAGTTAAGTTGATGCGTGTTTTTTTCAGAAATTTTCGATACAGAACTCCGATCAATTTGTTCTGAATTCGATAGTGAGCTTGAACTGCCAATTTGTTGAAGTTTCTCTAACTGAATCTTCCAATTTTTGAGATCATTCAAACGCTTCTGTTGTTGATATTCAGCAATTTTCGATACATAACTTTGATAAATTTGTTCTGAATTCGATAGTGAGCTTGAACTGCCAACTTGTTTAAGTTTCTCTAACTGAATCTTCCAATTTTTAAGATCATTCAAACGCTTCTGTTGTTGATATTCCACCCACTGTTGCTTTGCCTTCAAGTTTAAACCAGTTATTAACATTCTTTGGACTCGCCTATATTGCCGGATAATTTGTTTTTGAATTTCATCATGTTCCCGTTGTTGTTTCAGCAGGTGCAATTGCCAAAGTTCTTCTATCCGTTGGTTTGTACCTTGTTGGTGCTTTTTCTTTAGGATCTCTACAGCCTGTTCTTCTTGCCTTTGTCTCAGCTCCAATTCTTGCAATATTTTTATCTGCCTCTCCAATTCATTTCGGTCCTGGCCAAAAAGAGGAGGAGCAGGCTTCGGCGGGTAAGGAAGCAGTACTGGTAAGCGGGGATATGAAGGTAAGTTTATCAGCTTGTATATCTGGTCCTTTGACCGATTCTGCTCCTCTAACTTTTTCTGCTGCAACTTTCGAAGAATTTGCAAGTGTTGAAGAATTTGCCACTGCAACAGTAGTTGCTTGGCTTGTGACTCTGATTGTAGCGTCGTTTGAGCGTTAGATTGTTGCAGTAACTGTTTCTGTTGCAACTGACGCAGGAGCTTTAACTGAAACTCTATTTGTTGCAGTTGCCTTTGCAGCGATTGTGATTGAGAATTATATTGGGACTGTGAGTCTGATTGTGACAGTAGTTTCTCTAACTGTTTCTGTTGCAAGTGTCGCAGGATCTTTAACTGAATCATAACATGATTCAATTGCTTTTGCAGCGATTGTGATTGAAAATCAGCTTGTGACTGTGACTGGTACTGCGACTGGGACTGCGACTGGGACTGCGACTGGGACTGCGACTGGGACTGCGACTGGGACTGTGATCCTGATTGTGCCTGTGATTGAGTCTGTGATTGTGACTGGGATTGCAAGGCAGCCTGCTCTGCTAACTGTTTCTGTTGCAACTGTCGAAGGAGATTAAGCTGCAACTCTATTTGTTGCTGTTGCTGTTGCAGTTGGTTCGACTGCGACTGCGACTGCGACTGCCTCTGCGACTGCGACCCCAACTGTGACTGCGACTGTGACTGTGACTGCAACAGCGACGACTGCGACTGCGATTGTGATTGAGATTGTGAATTGGATTGTAACTGTTTCTTCAAATCCAACGCCAAATCTTTCGAAAGAGGATTATTTCGTATCCTTTCGATCAATTTGGCTACATCAAAATTTAAATGATAATTATTATTTTGAACCTGTGACTGTTGCTGCTTGATTTCGGGGTTACTCTGTTGACCCAAAGGAACAGGTTGAATTACTGGAATGTACACGGGTTGAGGATTTTGGACCAATACAGGCTGAATTATTGGTCTTTGCTGTATAGAGTTCCTGATCCGTTCGCGTAAACTCAAAAGTTTTTCCTTCAGGCAAGATTTGCAGATAATAGATTGGCTGGCCACTAGGGAACAAAGGAGCAGAAGTGCCATGAGCTGTTGAAACGTCGGGATCCACATCTTGAAGCTGGGTTCTTTCAAGAAAGCTAACGCCAAACCGAAAATCTGCCTTTTATAGAGCCTCCCACTGTAACACCGTGAAATAAAATAATCCATACTTAAAGTGGATTTTCTAACCGAAGATAAACAGATTAGTATGACTTACATCACAAAAGGTTATAAGTAGACGTAAAAACCTTGATTATTGATTGGAATGTTATGGCAAAAAATATATTAAGTGGATTACAAGGTAAAAAGCAAAAACGAAACCAGAACTATTACTTTTCTTATGGATATAAAGTTTAATTTACTCTGTTTAAGGAGCTAAATGGGTTCGCTTACATAAGAGTTTTATTTCAGAAAATTTGATAAAGTTTCCAGTAACTCAATTCCCATTTAAAAAACCGGCAAGCCCATTAACCATCACGCCCAGAGTGCATCTTGAAAAAAGTATGAAATGAAATAAAATGTAAAACGGGCCTGAACTTGTTGAAAAAAACTTAATTAAATTGAAAGCATTCAACGATGCAACAACTTTACAACATTTTGCAACATGAATGGGGTAAACTGCATGAAAAAAACATATATTGATTAATAAAAGGGATGAAAGAAATGAACGTGAAACATGAAATATATGAACTCGCGGCTGAAAATGAAACGCGGTCTCTTCAAATGGCTGACTCAATATATATTTTCCGAAACTGTTTGCTTAATGTGAGAAAAGCAAAGTTTTCAGCCTGATTGTTTTTAGGTGCCATGGGGTGAGGGAAAACTATTTTGGCGATGACAAAAGTCACTTTTTTGCCGAGACTTAAGGAGATTGCCTGCGGGGCGTTAGTCTATTGTGATTATGCGATGGCATTTCGTACTGACAGCGAACCCAAGGGGCAATCTGCAGTCAAGTCAGCCACACGGAAGCAACTGGCAACAACTACGCAAGCAACTTGCAACAGCAACACCATAGACAACAGCAACCTCAACGCTTCATTACAAAAGTCTGGCCAGGAAGGAGGCGTTTCCCAAAAGAGACCACAGCAAAATGAAAAACCAGATAGTGAGATACTAAGAGAAAGAAAAAGTGCAAATAGCAAAAGTCTCTTTACTTTTGCCTTCATCTCCATCTTATCTGGCAGATACAATTTTCCAAATTGCTGAGTTACTCTCTCACGGTAACAGAAAAGCAAAACAATCTGGAAGGAAAAAACAGACGACTGTTTTTGGTTTGAAACTCGGCAGGTGGCAATTGAAATTATGCAACAGTTTTCAGCAAAGTTTAAGTGGGGAAAACTGTCTGGGTTTCCCGCAACATTATGCAATTCTCACACTTATTTCAGATTTTCTCTCCTTTTTCCCGTCTGTGAACCTTGACATAGTTTCATTTAATTGAGCAAAAGTACCCATGTAATGGAGTTAACTCCACCAACTGCTAATCAGCCCCTATCAACAGTCCCATCTAAAACAAAATACTGTTGACAGGGTGGGATAATAATAGGGAGTTAGTTGCGGCTAGATCTAGATTGTGGCAGAGCATTCAATTAAGACATTCAAGAGACTGTCACTCTTGACATTTATTAACTTGCAATTGTTGGTGACAGTTCCTTTACAGAGTCCCATTGCATATGACTTCTATAGTATTTCTATGTGTGTCCTTTGTAGGTAGCCAGGCCCAAGGTTTATGGTTATGGGTTGCGTTGTCATGCGGGTCTTGTGGTTTTGCAGTCGATTGTTGTCGGTTCTGCTCGGAAAATGAGTGAAAATTCCGGTTGGTAAGCCTCCAGGGGGTCGACACAAGAAAATTTGGAATGGTTTGCTGGCTAAGAAAAGGGAGGTTGGACTACTGCTGAGCATTTCGATCGAATGTCCTAATGAGATTATTGACAAAAGGCAGTTATCTATAATGTGCAATTATAATTGTACAGATAAGCACCCCGAGGCTTAATCAAATGTTATTGAAAGTGAAATGAAACGATCAAATAAGTTTAGATTTTGATCAGCAAATACAGTAATAGCAGTGATTTAGTATTTCTGGCTAAATTAAATATATTTTTCTTAAGGAAATATAATATTTTTCTAAAGAAATAAGCTAGAAAACCTGCTTTATTTATCTAGATTATCGTATTGCACCAGCAATTACCTTCTGGCGCACTATTGATGCCATTTTAGATACACGTACATATAGCCACTGGTACATATAACTATCTGGGTTCCAACTCCATATATATATATATATACATGAATATATAGATGGCTCTGCTAAATAGTCGTGTTGACAGTTTATCTCCAGGACTGTCGCCACTCTCTAATCGCCGGTCTCCAGCTGAGCCAGCAGCAAAATTTTTCCTGACGCTGCTTCCACTTGAAATGAAGCGATATAACATGTTGCAACATTGCACACTCTTATACACACTCCCCCTTAGGAATTTTCCTACCCATTTTCCTACACTACCCTCTCGACTTCCGGGTTTTGCTAACCATTTTGTGCCTCAAATGCTGCTGCTGCTTTTGCTGTTGCCAGTGTCATCTGTCAATATTGATTTAAAATCAATTCATCTCCCGTTGCGCCAATGTCTGATTTTCTACGGTCCGAGCGCACAGCTTGAGGTTTTCATTAGCCGGCAGAATTTTTCAGCAAATTTCCCTTTACCGCCTCTGGCTTATAAAACCTTTCCAAAGTTTCGCATTACGTGAAAAAGGAAGGGCAATGCGATAAAATGCATTGAAAATTAAAATATAGGTAATTAAATAACGGGTTAAATACCGTTTCTATTGATTAAATTTATCAATAGAAAATGGTATTTATACTATCAATAGAAATTGTGTTTATCCCATGATTTAATTACCTATATTTTAAGTTTCACTGCATTTAACATATTGCCTTTGCCATTATAAATAAATATCATTAGGTGATAATTGTGTATTTATAATCGTAGTTAAGTTAAAATCCCAACTTTTTTTTAAACGAATATTCCCTTCTCCGCAAGAATTTCTGAAATAATTACCTATATTGCCTTTGCCATTATAAATAAATATTATTAAGTGATATTTATGTATTTATAATTGATGTAAATTTAAAATCCCTAATTTTTTTTGTAAGCTTTTTAAACGAATATTCCCTTCTCCGCAAGAATGTTGTACCTAACCATACTTTAGAAATTTCCAAAGTCTCACATTACAAGTTCGATCCACCCAGTGGAATGCCTCTTGAATTAATCAAATTTAGAGCCACGACGACGCACCTAAAAGGAAAATGTAGAAAAAGTAATTCATGTGTAGGACGGTGGTGCGATGGCGATGGCCAATCCCTCATTCTCGATGTTCATGACACTTGTCCATCAGTTGGGCAAACAAAACGAGTGGGGGCGTCATTTGAGACGTGTTCGCTCCACCCAAAACGACAGCGATGACGATTACATGGCGGGCTCAGTCCGGGGAAACTACTGAAAGTGCTGAAACTAAAAAAGCGAACCAACCACCCACCCAACGATCCAACGACTCTGTGACACGAGTTCAATGCTCCTTTGCAAATATGCAAATTTGCACTCGATGCGAACCAACTCTTTTTTACAACATTTTTTTTTATTTTTTTATTTAGGGTACGCGCGCACGCACTTGGCTCTGGGAAAGCGGCTTAAAGTCGTTCGACGGCCTTGTTATTTAAGAATTACTGGGTAAAAATAATGTTAACTTCGGTCTTACACATGCAAGTACCCACTCGCAATGCAAACGAGTAGAAAATGCGCTTTTTATTGGGGATTCTGGACCCCCTGCCTGCCTCCTCATTTCAATTGCATTCAACGACGCTTAACATTTTCACTACCAAAATGAATTTCGCTCACACACACACTCGGCACACACTCATATCAATAAATTTTCGCACAACAAAAGGCGGCGGGAAAAGGGCTTTCCACTACCGGGGGAAAAGCTCTGAATGACATGAGGGCTACAAGGCCTTGGACAGCATGGAAAATATTTTATTAAATGCATTCGCCATCGAGCACCGAAAAATAAATGAAAAGCGAAAATGTTGGCTGCTTGTGAAAATTACATGGCAGTATTAAGCGAAGACGAATATAATTCCTTTCTTTGTCCCCTTAAATTACTTGTTTGCGGTCTCTTGATATGGAAAAGCCTTTCATAATTGGTTTTTGATTTAACAAATTTACTATTCAATTGAGGGAAAACTGTATTTGTATTTTAATGGCAGGCCTAGCAAATAAGTAAACAAAATTGAACTTGCTTACTGTAAGTATCGTTTCAATAAAAAAATGCAACCCATTTTAACCTCAAATCGAAATCAGATTTGGCTTATTTTCCCTATTTTTGATACAAATTGATATTAGGCAAACCCACAGGAGGGCTCGTGAAAAATCCTGTAAATTATTTAACGCAAAATCCTTTTGTATGTTTTTGCATTCCGCAAAATAGTCGAAACAAATTTTGACAAATATTACCACAAAGTTTTCTGACAATAACAGAAAATGACAATTACAAAGCAAATTGTGGGCAAAAGTAAATGAAATTAGTTTACTGGTTTATGGGTCTAATTCAAATGCAAAATGCCTACACACAGAACTTTCGTCACACATGTTGGCCATAAAATTTGCATACGCACAACTACAACCCTTTATGACTTATGGAGAGGCCCCAAAAATGTAATCAACATTCGCCAAATGTACCATGTGAATTTAAATTTGCGATTTAATTAAATCAAAGCATAAATTGCCAAAACTTTAAGTGTGGTCGGGGGGCCATATGATGGCCTCAAGGAAAATGAGTTTGGTCTGGCTTTGTGTTAAGAATGATATGCACGTGTTGTTCTTACAAATGAGTTTCCATTAAAGGCCGACAATTGAAAATTCAATTTTAATAACTGTCGGTGCGTGTTTGTTGACATTTTGATTATCCATTAGATAACTTAATAAGGAGAGAAGCAATTTTCTCTAAAGATTGTTAATTACTTGGAGACTTTTGTGGGCTACAATTAGTAGTAAACTATATTTGCAAGAAACCATTAACATTGATTTGGTTGTAAAATCGTTTGAAATTAAAAATATATATT